CGCTTGCTGTTGAAAGATGGATCAGTATCCTGTTTATTTGGACCAGCTGCTCCAATGAATCACAACCTGTAAGTATGATAAATAACAGATGTTTATATTTTCTAGAGAGCGTTCAAAATACAGAACTATTGAAATATGCGTATCGTTTCCGAAACGCGCTGTACAGACTATGCCATCTGACCAATTAGAGCAGAGCAGGCTCACGGAAAGGAGGGGTTTAGAGAGACTGAATCTTTGAACTGCTTCGAACGAATCGTTTGAGAATCGCTGGAAAATGAGGTGATATTAAATGCATATTTTGAGAGAACTAAAGCGTTTTTTGACCTTGCATGCATGTAATCCCATTGTAGGAGACTCCCAAAACAATATTAGGAACTGTAAAAATGGCATAATAGGGGCAAAAATGCTATTAAATTCTTGACTCAAGTATAAAATCTAAAAAAAAAAGTTAACAATTTAGTATAGGGACCAATTCTTACTATTAACTAGTTGCTTATTAGCGTGCATATTATCAACATATTGGCTGTTTATTAGTACTTATAAATCACATATTCTACATGACCATATTCTACATCCCTAATCCTATACCTAAACTTAACAACTACCTTACTAACTATTAATAAAGTTAGCAAATTAGGAGTTTGAGGCAAAAGTGTATTTAATGTTTTGTTAATAGCGAGAATTGGACCTTTAAAAAATGTGTAACCAAAAAACAACATGTAAACAACATGGCATTTACTTAATATATAATATCTATTTTCTTTTCTGCTGCAGTTTTGGTATATATATATTTTTTTTAATTGCCTTACCTTTTCTTGCTTGATATCCTCCTTCTTGACTGATTTCAGATTTGCACGGAGATCCATGGAGCCTTTGTGTTTGGAGCCCAGCAGGGCCCTCATCATCTCATCAGCAGACACACGCACCTTCCTCAGGGCAGGTTTCTTGAACTTCCCGCCTAGATCCTGAACTTTCAACTTCAGCTCATTGATCTAAAATCAATGGAATACAAAATTTCCATTACCAGTGAGGTGCATAATACCTCAAAAAAGCTATCCGTTAGAACATCCATTCTTCTCAATAGCAGCTCCTTGGTTAGTACATGTACCCTCAGAAGTATGCAACCCATTGTCAGAATTCGGGTTTGATCACGGTTCATTCTGCCCTGTTCGTTTTTGTGTTCCTACTCCACATTGGGGTTTGCCCATCATCAGCAACTGGTACTCGCTCAATATCTGCTTTGCACCTCCATGTGACCTTCACTTTCATTTTCCCTTCTGTCTCTTCTGTCTTGTCAGTATTGTCAATCTTGTTGCGAACTGTGCGAACCAATGAAATCTTGAGCCTTGAGCAATTTAATCTGTCTGTAAATTGCAAGTAGTTCTCAACATCTTGATTAGCTTGTTTGGTGTGTTCAGCTACAACTTGCTACAATACACCTACTGAAAGTTTCTAGTGGAGGTTCTGAAGACCTTGAATCGCACCTGTCGCAGTGACTTCTCTTATAAAACGACTTTTTTTTTCATGGTGAACTCTGAAAATAGTTAAATCAAAAACTATTGTTTAGTGTAAAACAAGATGAAGATTAGCCGATAGGCTGCCGATTCATTAAATTATTAGGTTTTTCCTAAAAAAGCTGTTTAGTCAGCGTAGTAAAGCCTCTCCTCCATTGACATCCAATTTTTTTTCATGGTGAACTCTGAAAATAGTTAAATCAAAAACTATTGTTTAGTGTAAAACAAGATGAAGATTAGCCGATAGGCTGCCGATTCATTAAATTATTTTTAAATTGAATAAGTTTTTTCCTAAAAAAGCTGTTTAGTCAGCGTAGTAAAGCCTCTCCTCCATTGACATCCATTAAAAAAAAACGGCATCTGGTCTCCTTCCCTGCGCCACAGCATTAGCATTAGCCGTTATGTTTTTTTGGCTAAAGGTTGCAGGCTTGCCTTCCAGTGGCTTTTGCTAAACTCTACAGGACAGTGGTGCTCAAGCAACAGGATTTAGACATACTGGTCCAAAATGCTAGAATGAATGAACACATATTTGGACGCCTATTAGTATGGATGCAGAAACCCACAAAAGGAAACATTTTAGGTTGCAAATGCTGTTGTAAAAAATTAATACATTTATTCCACAACCTAAAGTGTTTTCATCTCTTGTAACTATACATTATTTTTAAACATGTTTGTAGTATTAATTCATTTAGTTGTAAATCATTTATTTAAAAAAATATATAAATAAAAACAGAGAATAAGAGCTTGACTTTTCTCAAAAGATAAATATGAAAATATAAGGGTTCTATAATACAATTTCCTGGAGGACCACAGAGGCTCCAACTTACTCTAACATCTGTTTCTAGTAATCCTCAAGATTTTGATTAGCTGGTTCTGGTGTGTTTGATCAGGTTTGGAGCCTAATTCTACTGGACAGCATTTCTTGGTGGAGCCAATGTACACAATATGGGCTTCAGGTATGGTCCCCAAAAATGTCCACAGGTTCCATGTAGGCCCTATCTGAATTTGCCCCGGTACAATCCCGTAAGATATATGGGCTGATTAAGATAGGGTTAATGTGGAACAAACATATTTGGGGCCAATACCTCAAACCCACATCATGCTTGTATTGGCCTCAACATTCAATGTTGGCTGGGAGTTGCCCACCCGGTATAGTCCATACTGAAAATATCTTACTGGTTGGTTTTATACTTACATCTTTGTTGTGCTTGTTGACTTTATCTTCATAGTCGAATCTCTCTTCATCTACTACATCGATTTTGGCATAGAGTTGCTTACACAGATTCTGAAAATGAATATGCCACATAAATGCAACTGGTCTGAGATTTGACAAATGAATAAATAAAGCTAAACTGCACATATTGTCTTCAACTAAAATGTTCTTTCTGACTGAGTGCATCACCTGTAACTCCGCCAGAGAGAGTCCAGAAAGTTGCAAAGCAGGGTGTTTTTCTTTGAGGTAGCGATTTTTCTCTTCTTCCCTGTCCTGTTTTTCATTCTCCAAATCCTCTATCGCTCTGTTTAGAAGCATTATCTGATTGAAGAAGGAAGAGGAGTTTTAATAACAATTTCACAACAAAGTAGGAAATAACGTAGGTACAACAAAGTAGGTAATCCAACCTTCAAAGAAAGTTTTCGAGATGCTGAAATTTTTGACTTAGGCTGTTAAATAAAGAAAGGGAAATGAGATGTAGATTAAAAGCGATATGAGTAAAATATTGCTTAGCATGCCTTTTAAAATGATTAAGACATACTTTGTTGTCCACTTTTGGATTTCCAGGCCTTCGTATCTGGCAAATGACAATTTAAATTAAGCAGAAACATTTCACATAAATGCGAAAATAAGTATTAGTTTGATATCTGTGTAAATACTAAATGCACTGTCTATGTAAAAATGGAAAATAGTATTGAAAACAGCTGCTTACCGGACTGCCAGTATCAATAGTTGAGGTACATAAAAAAGAGGAAATAATCATCAGTAAGGCATTTTGAGTAATCAAGCTATTTGACTTAAGTAATTCAAAACATGTATTGATCACTAAATAGTGATAAAATGCATTTTGAGTGGCTAATGAGTTTCACAGAATGTAATGCTGTATTTTATGCCCTGTGAACATCAAATGTTGAATAATCTTTAAAACAAAAATTGTACTTACTCGCCCATTTTGCTGTCTTGCTGAACTACTAAAAAATGTATTCAACCAGAGATTTTAGATGAAACCTAAAAAATGAATGCATAATTAATAACAAAAAACAGTCAATTTAACAGACTCTTATGACAAATTTGAAGCTAAATCAGTTATTTACAGTATGTATGTCATACCTGGTTTCTGTCTGGCTGATGGTCACGGACAGAAGGCAGAACAACAGGGTGTTGAGACAAAAGGGATTTTATAGTCCAGCCACCACTGGCTGGCAGATATAGTGTCTGTCACCAGGAATGCCTTGGCAGTGTTCTACAAATGAAATATCACCAACCGCAAAGCTGTGACAATACAGCAATATATAAGAATTCACAATGTCTTTTCTTTGGATTGAAGTTGAGTTCATAAACACACATTATACACACAAATATAGATATTTATAATTCACATGTGGGATATACCCTCTTAAAATAGTTCTTTTATGGGGCCCATAAATGGATAGCAAGTCTGCGCTCTTGAGTCATGTACAGCAGAGGAAAACAATTCTCAGAGGCGCTGTTAGGTGGGGTGGGGTGGGAAGTTTAGGATGATTCCAAGGGCCCCCCCCCAAGGGGGGAACGTGATTTCTAATGGGGACCCCCCGGACTGCGATTTTTTTTTAACTGTGGGGAACTACCGATTTATACCAAGGGGGACAAGCCTACCCATACAATCTCCTTTGTATTTTTTTTTTTACGATTGACGTCTTACAAATCATGTTTCACACACAAAATCACACAAAAGTTTAATCTACTGAATCATCATTACACAATGTCTTTTCTTTGGATTGAAGTTGAGTTCATAAACACACATTATACACACAAATATAGATATTTATAATTCACATGTGGGATATACCCTCTTAAAATAGTTATTTTATGGGGCCCATAAATGGATAGCAAGTCTGCGCTCTTGAGTCATGTACAGCAGAGGAAAACAATTCTCAGAGGCGCTGTTAGGTGGGGTGGGGTGGGGAGGTTAGGACGATTCCAAGGGCCCCCCCAAGGGGGGAACGTGATTTCTAATGGGGACCCCCCAGACTGCGATTTTTTTTAACTGTGGGGAACTACCGATTTATACCAAGGGGGACAAGCCTACCCATACAATCTCCTTTGTATGCTTTTTTTTTATGATCTGCTAACGCTCCTTCGTACATTGACGTCTTACAAATCATGTTTCACACACAAAATCACACAAAAGTTTAATCTACTGAATCATCATTGGTATTACATGCGGCAGGCATTTTGTTTTTCTGGTGCTGCTCGCTAACAGGAACTACTTAAAATTAAGGAGATTGTAACAAAAATGTTTTCATAAATATGTTTTAGTACTAACTAATACTAATAATTATGTCAGTTAGGACATATTAGGTTGTTTCTTTAAAGGTATGTATAGATATGTGACCCTGGACCACAAAACCAGTCTTAAATCGCTGGGGTATATTTGTAGCAATAGCCAAAAATACATTGTATGGGTCCAAATTATAGATTTTTCTTTTATGCCAAAAATCATTAAGACATTAGGTAAAGATCATGTTCCATGAAGATATTTAGTACATTTCCTACCGTAAATATATCAAAACTTAATTTTTGATTAGTAATATGCATTGCTAAGAACTTAATTTGGACAACTTTAAAGGCGATTTTCTCAATATTTAGATTTTTTTGCACCCTCAGATTCCAGATTTTCAAATAGTTGTATCTCTGCCAAATATTGTCCTATCCTAACAATCCATACATCAATGGAAAGCTTATTTATTCAGATGATGTATAAATCTCAATTTCGAAAAATTGACCGTTATGACTGGTTTTGTGGTCCAGGGTCACATATGTATTCAATACAGTCTTATTCGTACGTTTTTGTGAGCCTGATCTCATGATGAAAACGTACCTGTGTGAACTTTTTTGCAAGACGTGAAATACGTATCGCCATGTAGGCTATGTTTCATGACATATTCGATGTGAAATATCCACTGGGTGGTGCTAAAAGAGTGTTCATTTGTTGTTGGTTTTGTACGTGTCACCACAGTTCTAACTTTATATGTCCGTTGAGTGGCGCTGTAACTCTAATGCTCTGTGACGTTTTAAAATAACGTACCATCTGCACTACACCTAAACCTACCCGATAGTATGAACTAAAGTGAATGTGACGTAAAAACGCAATCGTACGCAAGCCGTTTTAGCTTGTTTTTCGATCTGTCATCTTTGAGCTCTTTTATCATGAGTCATGTTTTTTACTGCCTCTAGTGTTTCTGTTGGAAACTGCAGTGATATGTACATATTGGTACGTATTTCGCATTTTGCGAAAAAGTTCCCACAGGTAGGTTTTCGTCATGAGATCAGGTTGGTTTTTGTACAATCTGTCAATGCATATTATTGTCAGATCATACGAAATCACACATTTGTATAATACTTACGAAATCTCACACGGTCAAGCTGTACGTTCTTATTAAAAATACTGACTTCAATGAATTAATAAAATTATTCCATCTACTGAATCATCATTGGTATTACATGCAGCAGCCATTTTGTTTTTCTGGTGCAACAGGAACTACTTAAAATTAAAGAGATTGTAACTTTTAACTTGAGCACAGTTTTTAGAATGGCGTTTCATGCACAAGACACTGCAAGAGACGCGGGCGCAACAGTCAAACACATCCATGTTTACACAGAAAAAAACAATGGAAAAGCAGCGCAATCGAATAAAAAACCTGTAAAGAACTACTACTGTATGTCTGATATTTCATGTTTGCATTTTTGAATTACTTGAGATTTTTTTATAAGCATTTTCCTCGTATTATTTCTGAACACATCATATGTATAAGACATATTTGTATATTTGTACATTGTAGCTTATGCATCTTTTCTGCAAAGATATTTAACAAGTGATTTACATCATGTTGACAACTTCATGTGTGCTGCACTTAGAATAGAATTTTCTTAGTAAAGAAAAAGTTAATTGAATCATGTTGTTGTAACATTTTCAAGTTGACTAGTTAAAAATCTTAAACAATTGAGAATCAGTCAAACATTCTGGAAAAAATCGAGATTTGAATTTTTTGGCAAATCGCCCAGCCCTATATGCAGCACCAATTATAATCCACATGCCTGTTCCGCATATTTCAAAAGTTATGCCTGAGCAGGAAGTGATCAACCTAGAGGTCAAACATATATAATATATAAAAATGCAACAATTTCTATTCTACCAACAAGTGCATTACTGTACTTCACTGAGAATGCGAGAAACCATTTGTAGAGGCAACCATTTATGACGATCATACGAAATCACACATTTGTACGAAATCTCACACGGTCAAGCTGTACGTTCTTATTAAAAATACTGACTTCAATGAATTAATAAAATTATTCCATCTACTGAATCATCATTGGTATTACATGCGGCAGGCATTTTGTTTTTCTGGTGCTGCTCGCTAACAGGAACTACTTAAAATTAAGGAGATTGTAACAAAAATGTTTTCATAAATATGTTTTAGTACTAACTAATACTAATAATTATGTCAGTTAGGACATATTAGGTTGTTTCTTTAAAGGTATGTATAGATATGTGACCCTGGACCACAAAACCAGTCTTAAATCGCTGGGGTATATTTGTAGCTATAGACAAAAATACATTGTATGGGTCCAAATTATAGATTTTTCTTTTATGCCAAAAATCATTAAGACATTAGGTAAAGATCATGTTCCATGAAGATATTTAGTACATTTCCTACCGTAAATATATCAAAACTTAATTTTTGATTAGTAATATGCATTGCTAAGAACTTAATTTGGACAACTTTAAAGGCGATTTTCTCAATATTTAGATTTTTTTGCACCCTCAGATTCCAGATTTTCAAATAGTTGTATCTCTGCCAAATATTGTCCTATCCTAACAATCCATACATCAATGGAAAGCTTATTTATTCAGATGATGTATAAATCTCAATTTCGAAAAATTGACCGTTATGACTGGTTTTGTGGTCCAGGGTCACATATGTATTCAATACAGTCTTATTCGTACGTTTTTGTGAGCCTGATCTCATGATGAAAACGTACCTGTGTGAACTTTTTTGCAAGACGTGAAATACGTATCGCCATGTAGGCTATGTTTCATGACATATTCGATGTGAAATATCCACTGGGTGGTGCTAAAAGAGTGTTCATTTGTTGTTGGTTTTGTACGTGTCACCACAGTTCTAACTTTATATGTCCGTTGAGTGGCGCTGTAACTCTAATGCTCTGTGACGTTTTAAAATAACGTACCATCTGCACTACACCTAAACCTACCCGATAGTATGAACTAAAGTGAATGTGACGTAAAAACGCAATCGTATGCAAGCCGTTTTAGCTTGTTTTTCGATCTGTCATCTTTGAGCTCTTTTATCGTGAGTCATGTTTTTTACTGCCTCTAGTGTTTCTGTTGGAAACTGCAGTGATATGTACATATTGGTACGTATTTCGCATTTTGCGAAAAAGTTCCCACAGGTAGGTTTTCGTCATGAGATCAGGTTGGTTTTTGTACAATCTGTCAATGCATATTATTGTCAGATCATACGAAATCACACATTTGTACGAAATCTCACACGGTCAAGCTGTACGTTCTTATTAAAAATACTGACTTCAATGAATTAATAAAATTATTCCATCTACTGAATCATCATTGGTATTACATGCAGCAGCCATTTTGTTTTTCTGGTGCAACAGGAACTACTTAAAATTAAAGAGATTGTAACTTTTAACTTGAGCACAGTTTTTAGAATGGCGTTTCATGCACAAGACACTGCAAGAGACGCGGGCGCAACAGTCAAACACATCCATGTTTACACAGAAAAAAACAATGGAAAAGCAGCGCAATCGAATAAAAAACCTGTAAAGAACTACTACTGTATGTCTGATATTTCATGTTTGCATTATGGTGACCGACTGAAAGCTGCTGTTGTTTTTACAGAACATTTATAGTTAATAATAGTCTACTGGTGTTATACCTTCAGTCATTTTGAATTTGAATTACCTTTACTTTTGAGATTTTTTTATAAGCATTTTCCTCGTATTATTTCTGAACACATCATATGTATAAGACATATTTGTACAATATGTAGTTGTAGCTTATGCATCTTTTCTGCAAAGATATTTAACAAGTGATTTACATCATGTTGACAACTTCATGTGTGCTGCACTTAGAATAGAATTTTCTTAGTAAAGAAAAAGTTAATTGAATCATGT